GGAAGAGCAAGAATGTTTTTCTCAACAGATTTTTACCTCCTATCTAATGATTAGCACCAAAGCTCTGAAATAATGAAATATGAGTCCATAACTAGAGAAAGAATCAACAGAAAACACAATTCACTGCCCCCAAAAAAATCCCACTGCAGCTCTTCTCACCCTAGTTTTAGTTTTTTAACAGAGTTATCGCTGACCAAGCTGGAGGAAACAGCAGCCAGCAGGGTCAGTTTGAGCGAATTTCCCTGAAACTGAGGAGGGCAGGCACAAAAAGTCCTTGTGCAGAATGAGCTGCAAAACACACCAACCCCTCTGGAAGCTCAGCTGAGGAGCCACAGAATGAACACGATCCATGCTGAGCTGGATCAGGACAACAGGAGCAGGGAAGGGGCTGAGAGCCCCCACCAGCCCCCGTGGGTTGGAACCAGCACTGATGCAGATGGCAAAATGCTTCCCCCCCTGCTGGGAAAACCTCCAGCTTGGAGCTGGTTGAGGAGGATATGGAAGACAGTGGAATGAATCACCTCAGAAAGATCATCCCTCACTCTGCGAAAGTGGATGGTAAATAAGGGAAAATAAAAAAGGTTTGTAACTTCTTACGTCAACTACAAGTTGTTTTAATTAGGTCTGCTTCACGAAAATAAAACTGAGCCACTTCAGGGTGGGGGGAAAAATGCAAGTTACTTCCTAGGCAAGGTGGAAAACTTACACTGCAGCAAGACCAGCTGCTGAAACAGCTAAAATACGTCCTGTTCTCATCCTTCCCCCAGACCCAACGGCGCTGCAAGAGATGAGAAACTGAGAAGGGTGTGAAGGAACCGCCACGTCCCACCAGCCTCAGGAGATGAGAGCAGCCTGTTTGCCTTCACGAGGGTCTCAAGCAGTCACCAGAGAACCCAAGGCTGAACCTAAGCCAGGCAGGGAGCTGTAGGATGCTTTAACATCACATCCCAGGATTTCTAACCCAGCTTCACTCCCTGCCTTGCAGTGCAGCGTCTGAAAGCCGAGTCAGACACGGGAGTCACTGAACTGTAACTGGCAGCAAGTTTGCTCCAAAGCATTTAATAGCCAGGATAATCCTGTTCTAAAGCAATGTTATGATCTCATAAATTCCCTTGAAGGCTTTGGCTGCAGCAGCCCCTGATCTGCTCTGAGGGCAGAGTCTCTCTAAGTGTCCCCAACTCACAGGGCAAGGGAACATGACAAGGATTCCACGTGCAGCTGTGAAGCAGAGTGGATTCCACATGTAAATTATGGATACTGGGATACCAGAGTCATAGAATGGTTTGGTTTGAAGAGACCTTATAGAATGAGACCATCTCATTCCACGCCCTGCCATGGGCAGGGACATCTCCCACCAGCTCAGGCTGCTCCTAGCACTGCACAACCTGGCCGTGAACGCTTCCAAAACGTTTCTTTTTCTAAAGAAACTCATAATCTGGTGTTGTAGCAAACAGGATGTGGTAAAAGAAAACCAGCTAAGGTGGTTACGCACTCGGCTTTGAGACAGGCTGTACTTCCCCAAGAGGCTTCTGCTGTGAAGGAAGCAGCTTCTGAAGGAACAGCCAGCTGGGCTGGGCTGCCAGCACTGCCAGAGCACTCTTCTGGGTGCTTCTGTGAGTTCCATGTCCTCTGACTCACCAGGACATTCTTAGAGAGCTGGAAATCGTTCTGGAGCATCACTCAGGGGGCAAACAGCAGTGCCAGCACCAAAGGCATGAGAGCAGCCTATCTGCCTTCCTGGGGGAAGAGATGTAAATAGGGGACAGACTTGTTTATGCAGATTTGATGGAGCCTCCGGGCCATTTTCAACCCTGATGAGCTTCCTGCTCTTATCCTGATCCTAAAGGTTTTGGTTTCCAAGCCAGAGCTGTCCCTGTGACTCCCTGCAGTTGCACACCTGGCAGGAAGGGAATTTGGGCCAACCTTTGGCAGTGGAACTGGGAAAGCACTGACCCTAAAGCTGATTTTAGGGCTCACTAAGAATAAACGCTTGCAGATGATGAGATCAGCACCATAATTAGACACATTCATAGGGAAACATCCACAGGAACGACTCCACACTGACATCAGAGCCCTTGGATCAGACAGCTGATCAAAGCCTGGGTTTACATTTGAAAGGATACTGAAAACCAGAAAAAAAACCCCAAAAACAGTGACCTGGAGCTGTGAGGAAGAATTTAGGTCTGGGGGAAAAAAAAAAAGAAAAAAAAATGAAAACAGTTCTCATCTTAGAGCAGTTGCCAAGGAAAAACTGGGAAGCTTGGTGCAGGCTTTATATTCAGTGTGTAAGGATAAAGGAGGGAGTGCTGGATGGCTCCTGAGCTGAGGAGAAAACAGGAATGATCCAGCAAAATTACTGGAGATCCAGGCTCATGAGACTCCTCGGAGCAGGAGCCTCCTGTGGGTCCCCCCACACTGGGGCACCTGCCCCACCTGTGGTCTCACCACAGACAAAGAGACAAGAGGAGAACAAAAATGTGATTAGAGTTTTAATTACCTCCCCATACTTCTTCTCACAGCCCTGTGCATAACGCTTGCCTAAAACTGCAGGTACTTTACCACAAGCAATTATGCTAATTAATGTCTGGAAACAGAGCTAATTGAATGGCAAAGAACACGCTAGAAAACGCAATCAAATTTAAATGAACAACCACAGCAAGGAAATACTGTATTTTCCAGTGTGATGCAAAGTCTGCTGTTAAAAACGGTGGTGTTTAGCTTTAATCTTCTTTTTTCACTCCATTCTAAATCCTGTTTCAGCTTCAGAATTAACTGAAACCCCTGCACAGCAGTCACAGAACTGCTCCTCATTTCCAGGTAATCCAAGGCAAGTCCTGTTCCCGGGGAGAAGAGGAGGAAACCTCTCCTCTGTGCATAGAAACTGAAATGTTAATGAAACTGGGCTCTAAAATTCCAGGTTTAATGGCTACTACCAACATGGGGAAAAAAAGATCAAGATCTAATCCTTCCAAGGTTCCAGTTACCTAACTGTAATTGCTGTAACTTATCAAAATAACTGCAACAGTCCTCACTGTAACAGGTAATGAAAAGTATTCAATTACATAAATAGAAATATCCATTACATAGAAGATGGTCTGTTTGACTTCTCTTTTTAGAGAAAAAAAAAAAAAAAAGGAAAAAAAAAAGGACTTCTTCATTTCACTGCCCCAAAAGAGACTCTGTTGAAGTCAGGCTATGTTTGGTTGCTTAAAATTCCGCTTATTTTGCAACTGCCAGGCTACAGCAAAATATTAATGATTCAGCACAGGCATTGGAGCTGAAGCACATATTGAGGTGTCAGTACAAGCAAACAAGGTATCTGTGCATTTACAAGGCTAAAGTTTTGGCCACAATAAAAAGTCATAGTTTTAAGCACAAGTACAGACCACACTCCAATTGCTGAAACTGAAAAGCTGCCCAAGACTTCCAATGGCTCTGAGACCCTTTAATGATACTCTTGAGACACAGAAACACCAATTATTTTAATTTGGCAATACCTAAAACTCCCACTCCAGTGAGCTGCACACTGCCAGGCAAGCAGGAAGATTTTGGGGTGTTTCTGCTCTAGCCAGAAGGGAGCCCAGTGAAAATTCAACCAGCCCAAAGATGCCCCCATTGCACCAAAACCAGGTACTTTGTTCCCTACAGCCTCATTTGAGACAGGAATAAAAACTTTGACCTACTCAAGGTTTCCCAGCCCATTCTCCATTTTCCAAGACAGGAGCAACTGTGCTATCCCTGCCAATTCACTCTCCTCAGATCTGCTGGACAAAGATCCCAAGAGCCCCTCATGAAATCCACTCCCTGCTTTTATTACCCACACTACCACAAACATTCTAAATTTTATTCATAGCCAGATTTTTTTATTTTTTTTTTCACTGACACATTAAAGCTCTGGAAAATGGACTAACCTCATCATTTCTGCAACAGCTTTTCTGGTTTTGAATCATGTTCAACCTCACTTCTCCCATCCACTGCCCACATCTCACCCCATTTCAATACTTCCCTGTAGGTCACATTTAACAGACTGCTCAGCGAGGTCTCTGCTCATTCCCACTGCTCTTTCCTGGACTCTTCCCAGCAGGTCCATGTATATTTTTTTAATCCACTGCCAGGATGGACGCAACATTCTGCCAGAAGAGGATTATTTCACATGCCTCACTGGCTACAACACTGATTTTATATTTAGTCGTGTGATCAGCTGAGCCAACACAGCCCAGGGCTGGCTGTCACAGCCAAGTCCCTGGCCCGAGGGTCCCCAGGCTGTGCCTGTGTGATTGCTCTGGCACAGGTGGAGAGGAAGAACACTGCTGCATTTTCCCCCTCCCCTGGTGTATGGAGTTTTTGTCCTTGTCCTCGCTGTGTCACAGCAGAACACAGAGGCTCCTCGCTGCAGCAGTCACTTAACCAAACACTGATCTCTGATGTTCCCATTCCCTGGATCCACCTTTCCATGGAATACTGATTAACTGCTCCACAAGCCCATTTTCCCAGCAGTTTCAGCCCCTGCACACAGCAGTTTCATCCAGGCTACATCCCCCCATGTTGTGAGCAAAAACACCATATCAGAGGGCCAAGACAACACATCTGGGACCTTTTCTCCTGCTCCCTTATCAACAGGCTCATTACCTCTGCAAAGAAAAAGAAGTTTAACCGATGTGTCACATTACATTGTTGACAAGCCCATACCAAGTAATATAATTTTGTCCTCGATGTTTCCAAATAATTGAATTATTTTCCCTGTAGTTTTCCAGAACCTGAAGTTGACAGATCGCCTCGCTTCGTCTTCTTCCCTTTCACAACATTTCATCTTCTTGAAGACCTTTGTTTCACTAAGTCCTGTCCACCCTCCAGTGTTCTTCAGACAATCTACATCACTGACTTCTCAGCAAGCACCACAGAAAAATGTAAAAATCAGACTGATCTTGAAAATATCTACACGAGTTACATTTTATTGAAAAATATCTACACGAGTTACATTTTATTGAGACATGACTTACCAATTCTCTGATGAAAGATCTTGTCGAAGGTTAATTCACCCCTTTCTTCGAGGTATTTCTGCATAACACTGCGGATACTGAAAGAAAAAGAGGGGGGGAAAAAAAAAGAGGGGTTACTTGAAATTGCTTTTTTTAAACCTTTGAAGAAAAGTCAGGTGGAGCCCTGCCTGGCCTCAGGTGAGCTGATCCCTGGGGACACCCTGATCACCATTTTATTCCTGTCTCAGGTTTAGCCTGCACAATAAAATAAGTCACAAGTTGCCCTGAGCTACCCAGGATCAGCCACACAAGGAGCCAACAGCAGCAGCTCCATTAGGCCCTGCTTGGCTGCAGCGCACTTAACATCTACTTTGCCTAATTTATAATGTCACAATCATTCACTTAAACCACATTAACAAAGATTTCCTTTATTTATCAAGTATCCTCAATATTCGTTGTAATATAATGCCCATAAAAATTTCATATGGGCAACAATACAAGTACATAAATCTTAAAATCAATGCAGGACAGCAGTGCTGGGCCTTGGTAAAGCAACTCTATTGTCACAGTATCAAGTCAAAATACCATCAGACTTTCTCTGCTACCAATTTTAAAATCGATAATTTCCATACATCCTATTTATTACTATAATTATACTACTTCTTATTATAATTACACTATTTATTATTATAAAAATAACTTTGAACAAAGTACTCTTGCTCTATACAAGGCCATTAAGTATCACTTGTATTTCTGCAGTAGCAAGACTGAGCAGCTAAGCCTTGCTGACCTCAGGGATATCCCCTCTCGTGTGCTCACAGGGACCCCAGCATTAAAATTCTGTGAATCCTCCCAAATACTGACAAACATCTCCTCCAGGGAGGGAGGAAAGTATCTACACTCCTCCACAGAGGAGGACCTGAGGCACGAAGTCTGAATGACTTGACCAGAAAAAAGTCTATAATAATGCCAAGGACTTTGCTGGAAGGCCCTAAACTCCCATGTAGGAAAATATCCTATTAATAGTTTTCTGTGTATCTCCAAGTCCCACATGGAACACGGATCTCTGAACAGTGTGATCCAAAGCGAGAGCTCTGGAGGCCAACCACCACATCAAGTCAGACAAGAACTGGGAGGGCTGAACACTGTTAATCAGGTTTGAGGTTATAAATTATTCAGTGACGAACTTGCTGTTTATTTGTTCATTAAGAACTGGGTCTGCCCTCTGTGTATTTTAACAATATAAACAAAATATTGATTTAAATGAAGAGGGAGCAGTAAATAAGAGATCGTGGAATCAAAGAATGGTTTGGATTGGAAGGGATCTTAAAAAACACCTTGTTCCATGTCCTACCACGGGCTGGGACAGCTTCCACTATCCCAAGTCGCTCCAAGCCCCATCCAGCCTGGTCCTGGACACTTCCAGGGATGGGACAGCTACAGCTCGTCTGTGCCAGGGCCTCACCACCCTTACAGGGAACAATTTCTTCCCAAAATCCAACCCAAATCTTTTGCCAACCAAACCTTCCCCTTTTCCCTCTGTGCTTGCAGAGGACCCACTGGAGATGAACAAGCCTGGCACGAGTTCCCAGAGCCCGCAGCTCCCCCTCCTCCCCGAGCCCCTCGGCGCTGCCATCACCCCCTGGCACCATCCCGTTCCCACTGACCACCAGACCAGCAGTAACAGAATAAGCCTTTTTCATAATAATGACATCAAGAAAGCTTTCCTCTGCTCCAACGAGTGCACTGCAAGAAATTACATCAACAGATCTTCGGTCTAGACAATGGGAGAAGATAATGAAAATTTAACGTGCGACTGAAGCGCCCAGGAAAACAGGGATTGTGTAAGGAGCAAACCTCTCCAGCGCCTCCTCCTCTGCCAACATCCCGTACTTCTGGTCTGATGGATAACGTCAAAGGAACAAAATGTCTTTTGCAGCCACAGAAACTGAACAAATCTGTAAAATGATCACAGGCTACAGGAGTCCGTGCTACATTCCAGCTCCTCAATGCTCGCACTTCTTTAAAATCATTGCCATTTATCCACATGAATAAATAGGAATAAATTATGTGGAGTGGATTATGACTACCCAGAATAATCACCTCCTAATTCTCACATAGAAGTTTCAGGTAGAAATCCTCTGGAGTTCAGAGAATTGAAGCAGAGTCCATGTATCCTTCAGAAGGATGGAAAATTTTAAAATGGAGCTTAGCACATTCCACAAACAGGAAGAAAGGTTCCCTCTCTGCTTCAGTCTATTGACTCATTAGTTGCCCTACACGTAAACAATCTGGGATTAAAAGCTGCATTTCACAGAAATGCAGCCATTTCTGAAAAGCTTTCCCTGGCCAGAGATGCCATCAGCACAAACCACGCACTAATGCGAGAAGTGGCCGTTTCTGCACGAGTTCATCCCGGTTCACAGCATGATCCACCTTAATAGCAGCACTCACAGGGAGCAGAAACAAAAGTTGGCTAAAAACAAAATCCAGGGAGACCTCAGAAACAAAAGCACATCCAACTGGACTGCAGCAAAACCTTTTCTTCATATATTTTTTTTCATTTCGAAGAGGAAGAAAACAGCAAACCACAAAAAATTCAGAAACACTCCGTTTACTATCCACATACCACAAGTCAACTGAAGTATTGTTCAGGGGAAGTCAAAGTCAGGCCTAGAATTTGGTGAGAAATGCAGCTTGGACCCTGGGTACCTCTTTCTGGACATCTGCATCTTCACTGAAAGGGTGGTCAAGCATTGGTGGGGGCTGCCCAGGGAGGTTTGGAGTCCCCATCCCTGGAGGTGTCCAAGGAACATCTGGCCATGGCACTCAGTGCTCTGGGCTGGGTGACAAGGTGGGGATTGGGCACAGCTTGGACTTGATGCTCCTGGAGGACTTTTCCAACCTCAGTGATTCTGGGATTCTGTGATTGCTGGTTTAACTGGGGACACAGGGAAGCCCTTTGCCACTGGCCCCGGGGAGATGCCCAGCACTGCTGGGGTGTGAGCAGCTGGGTGTTCTTGCACTTCTGAGAGCCCCTGGGTGAAGTTGCCCTCAAAGAAGGAGCTGAAAAAACACCCCAGGCCTGCAGAGCAGGTTGGAGCACACTGCCTGCCCCAAGCAGGCAGAGGATGACTTATCTGCATCCTCAGCAAACCATAAACTCTGCGAGCAGCATGGGTCGCTCTAACCTGGTCAGCTCCTCCGTCTACCCAGAAAAGGGATTTATTTCAAGTATGAGCTGAACAGTCTGTTGAAAGGAGCTTCAAGCTGCATCTTAGAGCTCTAGTTACTCCAGCCTTGATCAAAGAAACCTGCTGAAAAGCAGCCTTCAAGGTTAAACTCCATTCTGGAATTAAACAGCTCGCTGTCTGTGAGCAGCCTGGCAGGGCACAGGCAGCAGCCGCAGTGCCAAGGTCGGCACAGGCAGAAAATGTCTACTCAAAAACATGTCTGAAAAGCTAAGAAGAAAACACATTATGTCCTTTCTAACACAGAAAAGGCCACGTAAGGCAAGAGCATCCACGATCCTCCCTCTCAGACGAGTTCCAGCAGGAGCAGCAGGGCTGAAAGAGCCTTGGAAAGGAGCTCAGCCAAAGCCAGGACCTGTCCTTGGCTGCAGCACTGGACAACAACAGCCACTCCTGCTGCTTCCCCGGAACAGAGCAGGGACAGCCTGTGAGCCCAAGGAGAACCTGCCAAGCAGGAGAAATGAAACTTCTGCTGGGTGTCTGAGTGTGTGTGCCCAAGGATGCCCACTGGAACATCCACAGGGCACCAAGAGCACAACCCCAATGGGTGTGGGAATATGCCCAAAACCAGGATTTACAGAGGAGAGGAAAACAAACAGCACTCATTCTGATACTTCCAAGAAAGATGGAGAGGGACTTTTTCCAAGAGCATGTAGCAACAGGACAAGGGGGAATGATTTCAAACTGGCAAAGAGGAGGTTTAAATTAGATATTAGGAAATATTTCTTCCCTGTGAGAGTGGTGAGGCCCTGGCACAGGTTGCCCAGAGAAGCTGGGGCTCCCCCATCCCTGGAAGTGTCCAAGGCCAGGTTGGACAGGGCTTGGAGCAGCCTGGGACAGTGGAAAGTGTCCCTGCCCATGGCAGGGAGAGGAACTAGATGGGCTTTAAGGTCCTTTCCACCTAAATTATTCCACAATTCCATAAAAGTTGTGCTATTCGTTTCACACAGATTTTGTCCCTGAAGTTCTTCTGAAAGCAACTCACACCTCAGAAAAGGAAAGGGCACAGAACGAGGCAATGGAACTAGGTCAAGAGGCTCCTTACTACTGGCCTTCCTACTACTGGCCCTTAAAGGAGCTTTGAATTATTTATCATCAGAGCAGATGATTTTTTTCTTGTAAATCAATAAGAATTCAGATTTACGGGATATTATCTGGTGTACAGGTGCACACACACCCACCACAGCTTGCAAAAACAATGGGCAGCATTAAAGAGCCATACCTGCATTAAAAATGAGCAGTTCCAGTCATTAATATATTCTCCAACAGACCGAAACAGAAACAGGAGAACAGAAAAACAAAACAAGAATGAAACAGCAGCTTCACAGAGACTGAGAAGAGATTAGTTCAGGATTTAACTCTACCAACACTTCCTGTATTGTCAAAAGCAGGCCATAAACTTTATATGCACAGATCCCCCGTTTCTAAAATAAAGCTGGATTTATTTTTTCCCTCCTCTTTGTCATTAGAGCAGGTACCATCCCTCTGCCACGTGTGCCTCCTGTATCCAACAGCACACTAAGTTCCTGATGGCGCCTGGCACATCCAAATTAATAATTATTTCAAGAAAATGCCAGATATTTATCAATCCCATGGCCAGTGCTTTGACTGCCACGGTTTAGAGTGCCTGTCCACTCTCTGCACTCCCAACATCACATCTCCACATCACAGCCACCTTCATTTATTCCTGTGTCAGGGGTAATAAACACTGAACACTCACAAACTACTGAACCCATTTAATTCTGCTTCCTCTCAGGTTGCACTCAGCTCAAAGTTCAGCAGAAGTCAATACTTCTCCAAATGACTCGGCTCTCAATGCTCTAAAAGCTGCTTCACACATGGTCACC